TCATTTCAATCAACGAAACACTCATTAATTTTGAACACATTTTGTAAACTAATTAATTGCACTCAAATATATAAAGATGTGGCGTAAGTGTAAGCAATACAATGACAAAATGGCTAACAATTTAAACGCCTTTAAATCACATGCTGTTTTTAAAAGTGTAAACTTGTTTTACAACTTTTGGTATTTATATTTGTGGCCATTATTATCAGCCCAACTTTGATTTTATCCCAAATGTATGTGTTTAACGCATGTACATATCAATATTTTTTTTTGCACTTTAAAAATGATTTACAATTATTTAATGAGTTTTATTTGAATATTTATTAAGTTTATAATTTAATAATTCTATTCACTATTAGAAAAATAATTAAATTTATGATAATTGCAAAACAATTTGATCTAGATTTATGACTACCATTTATGGTATATTTAGTCACATGTTTATCACTCGTATAATGAGTTAGAGTTTTGGTCACATTTTGCTCAACCCTTACCGAAGACATGATTGCCTGACAAACACTGCGGGCACTGACGGGTGAGTTACGCGCCGTATGGTTACTATGCAATGATTTACCAACGTTTTGTCCGTCAGTCACCCACTGGTATACTCGCACATAATCTACTATCAGTGCCGAGCAATTCCAGCGCCGATAGTCTTTGTAAGACAGAGACTGATCGGGAAATACAGTCTCATCGGCGCCGACAGCTAAAGTAAGGCCCAGACGGAAGGGCCGGTCAAATGGCTGTTTACTCGTATTGTATGACAGGTAATGGCTGTCATCGAGAAACCAATCGACAGCCCATTCGCTCCACTCTATAGTATAGCTGTGAAAGTGTTGTAGTGTTTCGTTGGTCTCGTAATACCATTCCTCCACATCTGCCGACCAATCGGTGACCAAAGCGCTGATTACCACACCTGGTGTCTGATCGTTGCTAACGATGTCTATCTGACCGCCGGTGCCGTTGCGCTCAGTTAGCGATATCACTGGCCGTAAGAGTTTGCCGGCGGGCAGAGCGGCCCTCACCTCAAACACACCGTAAGTCCAGTCCTGTGTCGACACAACCGATGCCGATGTGTAGTCAGTGGCCAAGAGGTCGGTTCGGTGCCGGTCTGTGTCCGGTGTCTCGCATACGGCCGTAATGGCCAAACAGCCCTCCCGGAGCTGTAGATTTTTCAACGAGTTTGAGTCGCAGTGTAGTTGGTATTGAGGTTTGTCTTAAATTATGGTAATTTTATGGTGAGATTAGTGATTAGGCTGTGATATGACATACCCTCACACCTCCCGTCCCGCCATTTGTCGGCGATTTCCCACTTATTATTGTCCATTGAATTGCCGTTGAATTCATCACTCCATACGAGTTGTAAATGTTTGCCACAATTCACTGCATTTATAATCATTATATAAATTGTGGTAACTTTAAAGCACTTCATTATATTGTGATTTAAATAATGTATTTAATTAAAAATTAAATGTGTTTTTACCATTTATTTATTTAATAAAGTGTGTAATAAATGTATTAATTTATATTAAATTTAATCATTTAATGTTAAGAAATATAATTGCATAGAAAAGTGATAATATTATTAATATAAATATTTTGAAAACAATTTTTTTGTTTTGCGATAAGAGATATGACATTAAAAAATGCCGAAAATAATATTTAATTGATTAATAAACTTATTATAAATAAATATTAATTTAAAATATTAAAACATTATTAAATGTTTAAATAAGATATGTGGTAAATATTAAATTTTATTTTATTAATTTTTATAAATTTTAAAAAAGTAAAGTGATGATTTTGTAATTACAAAAGTATTGTGATATTATGTTTAGAAAACTGCTACAATATGAAATATTGTATTTTGTTATTAAATTTTAAAGGTATACTATAATAATGTAATTAAATACTATGATTAACCCTTAACGTGCACCGTGGCACCATTTGTATGAATGTAGGGTTAAATAATTATTTAAAAATCAACAACAAACA